TCGGGCTGGACTCGAACCACTGTTGCTCAGAGCTCAAACTCTTGAGCGAGCTCTTAACCAACTGAGCCACTCGGCCGGCCCCGGCATCCTGAATTTTTGCTAAATCTGGTAACTCTGAGGAGTGGAGTGGAGAGAGAGAGCAATCCACTAATTTTCAGGGAGAATTATAAGCCTGAGAGCTCCACCTGTGGTTCCTAAATTCTGCCCTGGCAGGAAAAGGTGGACAAAGCTAACAAGACATTAAGGGGAGGGGCTGGTGAATAAGAATCAGAATTAATTCCATAAATATTTATTGGTATGGATTGGGCGCCTGGGTCATTGCCACAGCCAGTAGTGTGTTTGCTCTGGCAGGAGCCAGGATGAAGCCAAAATCCCCAAGCACATTTACTCCTTTGTACCCCCTGCACCATTCCCAGATCAACCGCACCTACAGCCGGGATGGAATAGCAGAATAGCCTGTGCTCTGTCGTCACCATGTGGCCAGGACTGCACATGACACCCTGCCCTCAACAGCCCTGGAGCCAGGAACAGCTGGGCTTCTGCCTTGATTAGTGTCAAGTGGGGACTAACTCTATCTAACAAGTCTCAGCTGTTCACCTCTGTCTTCCCACCACACACACACCCAATGCTCTGGAACAAATGCGTTTCTCTACAAGATAAGGACGCTTAGTAAAACACAGCGTCATGATCAGACTTAAAACTAACACTCATTTCTTTTTGTTCCAGTTTTATAGAGATTTAGTCAACACACAGCCCTGCATAAGTTTAAGGTGTGCAGCATAATGATTTGACTTACAACATTAACTGCCTAATAGCAATGATCCGGCTGGCATTTGCATGGCCTCGGTTGTATCGTATTATTATTTACGGCTGGCTTGTTTCAATCTTCATCTAAAACATGTGCTCCCTTGGTATTTGGTTCCCGTGTCCTCGTCTGTGGTTCCCAATCTTGGCTGCTCCTCAGCATGGATGAGGGGCTTAAAGAAACACCTGAAGCCAGAGCCCCTGATTCTGCTATAATTGGTCTGGGGTGCCACATGAGCAGAAGGGTTTATTTTTAATTGTGGCAAAATACACATAACGTAAAATTTAAATTTACCATTTTAATCATTTAAAAATGTGATTCAGGGCCGGCCGACTGGCGCGTTGGTTAAGAGCTGGTTTGGGACGCCAGAGTGCCCCAGTTCAGATCCCACATATGAGGGCCAGTGACACTGCCCTCCACAGCTAAGGTGCTGAACAACAGCTCAACCTGGAGCTGGGCTGCCGCGAGTCGCCGGCGATGG